GGCACTTAATAAATGTTAGTTCCTCCACTCACTGTCTACCACTTAACAATGCATTGCAGGCATCTGGATCAGGCATACATTCCTGTAGAATCTGAGCTAGACACACCCTCACCTCACCCACCTTTTACACTTTGTCTTCATTATTGCTTCTGTTACTCTTTAAGGTGGAAGAGAACCTTAGGCAGGGAAATCCCAGGAGGGAAAGAAAGGAAAAGGAGTCTTCCTTGAATATAACATAACTGGTCAGGTTCACTACAGAGTAAGAATACAGGAAGGCCTTGTTACTAGTTTTATTTTAGGCCTTCAGAAATGTCCCTCTCATCAGGTAAGGGGAAACTTATACCTAACTGGTATATGAGCTATTACTAAAAAATAAGAAAAACGTTCACATGTGCTTATTCCAAAATTGAGAAATAAAACTACTATGGTCTTCTCCATTGAAATTTGTCTGCATTTTGAGTATTACCAATAAATCTCTTTTTATGAAAACAGAAGGGGCGAAATTATTTTCATGCTCCAAAGACCATAAAGGAGCCCCTCGCTGTGTCTTATTTATGTCTCGTTCCTACAAAGGTCAGCTTCCCCACCAAGCTTCCCACTTCCTAGCTTTTGCATCAAATCATGACATCTCTTTCCCAGCTAGTGTCTATGGCACACTTAATATGAAACTAGTATTTTGCCGGGTATGGTATCTAGAAGATGCCTGAAGCTTGTTCTGACTACACAGGTGTTCCTGGATTCACCTCCTTGGTGAGGGAATGATCGTAGATCTCCCCAATCTCCAGTTTCCCCCTAAAAACCCAATACCGGCGCTGCCCATTTAGCTCCCGGTCTGGGCAGAAACAGACAAAAGACCCAAGAGATGACACAGAAAGAAAGAACAAAGTTAAAGTACGAAAGTCCCTTTACCAAGTGAACTGCTGACAAAGAATAGAAGAGAAAACTGGGTGGTGAAAAAGCCAAGCTCGGACAAGGAAGCCGGCGTGTGGAGGGTGGCCTTTCCTGGATGAAGTCCTGTGAGATTGGGAGTGCCGGGTAACTGCTGTGTTACATTTGGGTGTCTTTCAAACACTTTGAGAGACAACTGTAAAAAAAGAAGCTACTTACACACAAACCCATAAAAACATGAAAAGAGAATCACACAGTTCTGTTATGACTGCTAGCATGAGTGGAAATCAATTAACATTTATTGAGAACCTACTGAAGAGCTGGATACACATCTCGTTTAATCTTCATGACAGTCCTTAGAAACCAGTATGTTTACCCCCTTCTAGATAAGACAGCTGGGACTCAGGGAAATTAAGTGAATTGCCCAAGGTCATAAAGCTGGTGGAGCAGGAGCAAAGCTGGAACTATGATACGTCTGCCGCTGGGAGCTGGGGACCAGAAGCTGCTGTTGAATGAGAGACACTGGGCCAAAGATTTTTGCCAGAGGAAGTGTCTCAGGAACTGGCCTGCCATGTCCTCTGCACCGGGGTGTCTCTGAATCTGTGTTTCATTGTGAAACTGTGGGTTTTTCCTGATACTTCCTTAGCACAAAAAGCTGTGGAATCACAGCACAAAAGCTGTGAGATCTATTTTCTTGTATATGGTCAAAAATGCAGCCCACCAGAGCCTCTTTCTCCATCCCTCCCATATATACTGGTAATAGAAGCCAGAACACATGCAAAACTACTTTTATGAGTTTCTCCAGAAACCTTTTTACTCTTCTTTTTCCCCTTGCTTCCTTAACACTTTTCCTTCTTTCCTCTTCCCACTTCTAGTCCTTTATCAACGACACAATTTCCAGGCATTTCTTCCCACAGATCTTAAACTGTAGAAGATATAATCAAGTCTTTTCTTTAGCAAAACTAGATAATGTTTTGAGTTATTTACCATTTTAACCCAGGACAAGAGTTGGATTCTTACGATCCTTTCTCACTCTGGCCAACTGAATTGCTGCAAAGTTACTTCTCACAGCTGTGAATAGCCTAGATTATAAATCTTAATTACAAATTACCCTAATCTCATATTTCTTTTATTTTGACAATGGTGATATGACTGCAGAGAAATACAGAACAATTGTTAGCTAGCGGGAAGCCAACAATAATTCTGTTTACTGTGTGACCTCACAGAAGTGGCCACAATCTCCTTATTTCTTCACTATTTCTACATTACTTTTCCTTTCTCCCCCCCTCCCCCCGCCCCCCCATAGTGAACCAACAGAGACTTTGCTGAAAGGAACCTTAGAAAGGTTTAGTTTAAGTAAACTGAGAGAGGCCCAGGACCAACAGATTCTTACTGTAGATGAAACCTTGGGCATCTATACTTTCCATTCTGAGTTAATTCTATGTTCTTAAAGCCAGGAGGTAGGAATTTGGCTAACAGTGAGATTTACCCTTCTCTCAAGGCAGAATCCACTGGTGAACAATACCATGAGCTTCTATTCCTTAATTCCAGCACAAATCTTTGTCCTTGCCATTTCCTCTCCTTTGCCCTCCCCACCCATTTCTAGCCCCCATGACCGGCCAGTCCATCTGGCCAGTGCTTAGCCACAGGGCTGACGAAAGGATTTGTGTTACCAGTGAAAGCCAGCTAGCATTCCCACCATCCTATGACAAATACTAGATTAGTGATATTTATAAGAAGGTTTAAGATGTAAACATGTATACAGACAAAAATATTCCTACACACACACACACACACACACACCATTGTCTTGAATACTAAAGACGATTTCTCTTTTCGCAACCACTTAGTGGCATAACCTGATAAGGAAGACAGTGGCACCCAGTGGACAAATGTTTGATTGTTTGAGACAGGTGTCCCTTCTGAAATGTTCTCATATCTTAGCCTTAAGAAAGGTCAGTTGCTCCCCTTATCTTTCGCTCTCCTCTGTCATCCCATTAAGACATCTACGGAATTTAAAAATAGGAGAGAGTGGAATATTCTTACAGTTTTCATATTTTCAATAATAAAACTAAACTAAAACATTGGAGAAAGCAAAAATTTCAGTATTAAATCCTCTGAGAACAATGTTTATATTTGATTAACCTGTTTCAACAGTAGCAGTGGAGACAGCTAAATCTAATAAAATACTCAATTTAATTAAAATTGCAATGTTGAAAATGCCTGTCATGTGCTTTTTTTTTTTTTTTTTTATACATCATGCCCTCTTTTTCCTCAAACTACTGCCAACTTCCAATTAAATTCACTTGGTTATACAAATTTGGCAACTCCAAGGACAATATTTCAGGAAAATAACACACACGAATCCCGCAACTTAATGCTATTGTGTAGTTTATCTGGGAGCCATACAAATACCTATTTTTACTCTTCAGCTCTTTGATTGATTATTTTGGTTGTGAGCTACTTGGGTAGTGAAGTCACAGTTATATATCTTTCTTCTCAAAACATTTTATTCATGGTAAGTACAAAAAAGTTGAGGGAAAAAATTCCAGTTTCCATTTCGTATATTTAATCTGCTAAATGCTGAAAAAAAAATAGATCTAATTATTTGATGTTACATAAAAGGATCATCGAGTTACATAAAAGGGGCCCTTTTTATTGGATAAAACTATTTTATAAAGAACAAAATGAATGAGTACTTTTATGGGTGAATTGAATTTTACTGATCGAAATGAGAAATCATGAAAAGACATTCAATTATGAAATAAACATATATCTTAGTGCAAAATAATACCAGTGGGCTGTCCTTGTTTAGTTAGCCACTTCAAAATTTCTTCCAGGTTTAGAGGTTCTGAAATATTTTTTTTTCCCTTTGAAATGATACCTCATGTTCATCATTATATTTTTAGTAATATATAATTTTGCCACGTTTGAGGCTTGTTTGTATTTGTTTTAAAGAAAAGACCAGTTGGCAAGTCAGGGTTACGGCATGTGATTGAGATGGAAACTTTCCCAAATGGCTCTGGGCTGATGGCAACACCTTTTCATTAAATGATGTAAGTCCCCAGTGACACTTGCATCAGTCACATTTAGTCAATAAACAATAAACACATCCCAAAGTAAGCATGCACTTTTTGGTAATTTGAAAAAGAAATAGAGGCCATTTTTGTGTGTGTCATTACATTACATGTTAATTGTACTTCTTTTTCTCATAATACAAGCAGCTTGCCCCCCTAGTTTTTGCAAAAATTCTTATAAAATTCTGATACAATCAAACTTTGCTATCCAGACATTTGTTACGAAATATTGTTTTTTAAAAGTTCCTAAAATATATTATCAAAATGTATCAATGCATGATAAATCAATAAGCATTTATAACATTTTGGGGTCTCTGCAGTCCATTTTCCTTCACTGACTGTCACCAAAAGCGAGCACTGGTGCCCTGTAGGAGGAACCTCTTGGGCTAAGTCCCACTGCCCAGGGGAAAAGGACAAACAGTAACAGTGGGATTTGCCCTACACACTATGCTATTTACAAAGTGTAATCATACTGGGAGATGGTTCAGCCTCTGGGCTGAGCTTTACTGATACCCACACGCAGTGTCTCTGAGATCAGAGACCTGACAATTGAGGCAGGTCACTTATAAAGCATCCGGTCTGCCCACTGCAGCCCAGGCTCCACCTAGGAAGCACTTGCTTTGTTTCTATGAGTTTCGAACACCAAGAAGAAAATCAATATTTAGAAAACTCTCTTGTCTCAAATAATTTGAGAAAATTACTTCTGTGTGGTTCCAATGGGTTTTATCTTACCTTTGGGCTTATCTTTTTATAATGCAAATATGCTTCACTCATTCAGGAAAACCACTTGCTTAAAGATGGCTTGCCTAACTCATGGGCTGTGGTGGATGAAAATCAAAATACAAATGTAAAAGTAGTCTTAAAGGCTGAAAAGTTCCATATAGATTAAAGTAATTTTTGTTAATCTAAAAATGAATGAAATACTGTGTGTGTGCATGCACGCGTGTGAATAATCACAGAGGTTAAGGTACGTATTTAGACTTACACTTGCTCTACTGAGAAATCTATCTTTTCAATATCAACAACAGGTATTACCTGCTCAGATAAGGTTTTAGCCTTTTCTTCCGCTTCCTTCAGGCAAGTCTCCAGAGCCTCGAGATGTGTCAAAGTAAATGACATTTGTCCAGTTTCCAAGGAATCTTTCTTTAAAATAATAATCAAGTATTACTTTTTGACATGGATAGGTTCCTGGGCACATCTTAAACAACTTTATGGACTAATGATAGGCATAATAAACTCACACAAATCATCTCTTTTTCTTCATCAACACATAATAAAACAGTGAAATTTTACAAAAACAATAGTCTTATTTAACATTTAAGGTCTAAAGGAAGAGTAAAAATGCATAGTAAATGACAGCAATGAATAGTTTTAAAACGTTAGGATAAAATTACTCAGTTTGGAACTAGGTTAATCTGAGACTTTTAGTCTTGATACAAGGGAAAACTTTCCTTCAAGAGGTTAAGACCAAAATTTCACATTCCTAATAAGATGTCACCTAGAATGTCTACATTTTTTTACATTCACCTATCTTGAGGAACAGTCATATGAATTCAGAGAAGCTCTTGTTTCCTCTGATCAGCACCTTCTTATCACAAATTCCATTAAAGCACAAATACCGCATGGTTTAGAATCAAATCATCCTTCCCCAGAATGTGGTTAATATGACTCAAATTAGCAGATGTGTAGACTTTGCCTCTCAAAATTGTTTAAAAGTTGCTCTTTCTCATCTACAACTGCCTGAGGATTATGCAGAATGTGGCATGTCAATATGAGTCATGGGCCTTCTGAGACTAGAGCGCTTCCTGACTATTCTTTAGTTATCAAGACAATTAATTAAAATTACACAGCAATATGAGAAGTTAAAAAGGAAAACCTGCTGCTTTGTTTTTTCCCTTTGGTTTAGGAGCCCACTGATTTTACACATGTGTGCATTTCCTCATGATACAATAGAGCCATCTGGTGGTAAATGGAACCAGCCATAAAAATAAAGCATTCATTCATTTCCTTTAATTGTTCATACAGTACTCTTACATTTAGGGCTCTGTGTCAGGCCTCTGATATAAATGAAACTCCATGGGATGAGGAGAGAAAGAATTTTTCTATGTCTCAAAAACAGCCTGGCTCCCGGGTAACATGCAGCTGTGTTATCTCACCCAAAAGTTGGCTTTTGGAGTATACATCTTGGTCTAGAATGTTGATACTTGGGATGAACCAATGATGATTCCAATAATTTTAAGAGTCACTCCACAACAACAGCAACAAAAACAACAACAACAACAACAAAAACAAACCTCAAGACAAATTTTTTGTGTATTTACACTTGCAGATAATTCATGCTGTGAAACATTTTATGCAGAAAAGGGGAAATTGTCAAGAGGCAAAACTATTCCCAAAAGATTGGGAATCCCTGATTTAAACTACTATTTCCAAGGAGAATCTTCTTGTCTAATGCTGGATTTCAAGTGAAGTTTTTAAAATTCTTGTGACTAGACCAAGTAAAATCACCTAATCTGTTTCTCTGGGTCTTTTTTCTCCAAACACCCCACATTTCTCCAGCCAAGGATAACCATTTCCAGTAAGACAAAAACATTGTAAGTAAAGCCAAATGAAACAGGCTTGACTGAAGACTGGTATTAAATAACATAGGACTTTTCATGCAGGTAGATTTAAGAAATTGTCATATGTTATTGAACAGAGAGAGTCCTGAGCAAACTGAAGAATGCAGTCTGAGTTCTTTAGCCCCGATGCAAGCTATCATTCCCCCATCTTTGACTTGCCTTTGTGTTCTCCTCACTCCCTTAAAAGAGTCATAAATGTGTCTTCGCTGAGGTAAAAATGTCTTATACAAAAGCAAGTACTTTTTAATAGGAGGCAACTAGCGTTAACCAAACAAAGGAATAAAAAGTAAACCGATAATAATTTCAGAAATAAGTAAATACATGGGGTTAGGAGTTTTGGAGGTAGATGTGTGGTTTCAAGGATCCTAAAAAAGTTAGTTGTTGTCAGTCATTGTCCCAGTTTTGCAGGATGAGATGGCAGAAGAGCAGAAAGGTGGGACTTACACAGTCAAGTTCATTCTGCTTCAGGCATGTGCGGACATACATAAAGCAATTTATTATAAACATGAAACTGTCTTGGTGGTTAAAGTAAGTGATGAATGAATTATACTAATAAAAAGCCCTTTATACTCTTTCTTTCTTAATTTATTTTTTTCTTGATTTCTGTAACCCATCTCAGTATCTTTTCATTGTCCCTTTCCTTACTTTTAAGTCAGAATATCTGTCTTACGATGACCTTGCTCTTCTTCCTTAACCATGCAAACCCTTTCCACCTTTCATGACTGGTTCAAGGTCTCTGATTAATCCAAATCCTTCACCCCGCTCTGAATCCACATGCAACACTTAGGCTCCTGCATGCTCTGAACATTTAGTGGGAGCTCAATACATAGTTGTCAATTGAAGACTCATCAGTTGTTAATTGAATAGTTGTTAATTGAAGACTCATCAGTCAAAGAAGGTGATTGCACCAGAAGGAACAGTCCTTCATGCGGAGAGGCTGTAACAGTGACTTCTTTGAGCAATATTTGTCATGCATCCAGCCTGGGACACCGACAGGGATCAGATCCTTAGAGAAATTCTGCTTGCCAAAGCCAGATGCAAGATAACGCAGCAGAGAGCAAGAAGATGGCCATGAAGTTGGGTGATGATGACAGGAGGGGTTGTTGTGAGGATTAAATGAGGTAAGGCAGTTAACTTCTTAAGCAGATGAAATCCTCAATTAATATTATTAATAATTCCATTATCTTAACTCCTTTAAAGAGAATCATTTGATATTAAAACTTTCTAGTTTATTTTTAGACCCTAGTAAAAGAAAGTTCCTGTAGAGACACTTGTAACAACAAATGATCAAACGACAGCAGTGGGAAATTCAGTCAAGTATGAGATTAGAACAAAGTTACTATGTTAAATGTATGCATGTGCATTTATTTAACGGCCATATTGCTAAATAAGGGCATTGTTATAGAAAATTCCACCTTTTCAGAAGAGCATTTGGACATGGGTCAGTTTAAGATGATTAATTGTTTCTAGCAATCTAAAGCTTCCAATGTCCAGGGTTCTGGCAGCAGCCCCTGCTCAGAGGTGCGGTAACTTCCTGCCACATAAAACATGCTTTCGATACATTTTGCAATGGTCAAGCTTCCTGCTTGGTGCTTCCTGTATTTACTACTACTGTCGATTCGTCTTTCCCCCTGCTTTGACAGGCACCGAAGGCTCTACACTTGCTTCCTCTTCTACGACCTGCTTATATTTCTCGCATGGATTAAAGTCTTTCCCCAGGCTTCTAGCTCAGCCCCTTCCCCTGCACAGATTTCTGGGAGCTCTCCTGTAATCTTTGGAGATCAGAATTCATTTAAGAGTGGAAATTTTGTCACTCTGACAACCCTTTGCACTTAGCTTTTGCAATAGTTTCTTAGGCAATAATTTAAAAATTCATTTTCCTGATTTCAATCCATTCTAGTGAAAACAGTATTCCTCTGTGCTTGGAGCTGCCTTAGTAGTTACCTAATAAGATGTTTTTAATTCAGAATGTGAACAAACTACAACTATTGTCAAAGCCCAGTGGAAAGAAGGTTCTAGGAAGTGCCCATTGATATAACTGTGAAGGAGACAGCCATGGGAGAATGACAGATGAGCATTGATTAAGGAGAACTCTGGACTTAGCAGGCCATTTGACTTGGATAATGGGACTTGTGGCCTTCACTTCTCAGAGTCTCAGTTTTTCGTCTTTAAATTATGAATGAACTGGCCAGATCCCAGTGGAAAATGGATGGCCACTTTAATGGAGTGACTGAGGGGGGTTTAATGAAGGAACTGTGTACAGAGATGTGGGCACAATTAAGGGCATCAACAAAGGATAGTGAGCCAACCCCTAGAAGTGAAGGTACCATTTGCCTTAGCTTGAAGAAGTAGGGGAAGAAGTAATGGGAGAGTTATATTATTGCAGTATCAAGAAAGGAAGTTGCAGAGAGGGCCACCCCACAAGCTGGGCCTTTGGGTAGAGGAATATAGCTACTGCCAACCTGTGTCCAGACAGTAGTAGCGTATGGACCACTTAAATGGCTTGACCTCGTCTTTCCTCACTTCAGTCTGTATTTTCCTTGGGCTCAACCCAAGAAGCCAGAAGGCAAGAGAGCCTGAATGACAAGTCCAGAGAGACCAGCTTCCCTGGAAAAGAAGGGAGTGGGAGAAAAGTGGAAAGTGAATCTGGAAGGGGAAACAAAGAAACCTCAGGCCAAAGGCATTTCATTATATTAGTGTGTTCCAAATGCCAGCCCATAGATGAATGTTGGTTTATAGAAACATTTTCACCAGTCAGCAAGGAAAGAACAAATCTAAAAATTGTAAAAGAACTTGTAAATTTTTCATGAAGTCAAATTAATTCCATTTAGAGGACTGTCTTTTATTCTGAGACTGTGATTGGTCTATACATTTTGGTGTTCATGATGGTGATAGTATATGGAAATTATTGTGTTTTAGTGTTTTTTTCTTGATAAAAAAGGAAAATTGGCAGTCTTATCAGAACTAACTCGTTATTTTGGGGGTGAATATTCTTATGGGTTTATGAAATCTGAAAGTATAGAAACCCTCTATCTAAGTCATCTCTGTTAAATTATGAATTGAATGTCTTAGCAGGTGGCCTTTCCAGAACTATGATACCTGAATTCCTCTGGACCAATCTTTCATACTGTGAAAGATTTAAGTACTTTTCCATTTCTATAACATCACTGATAGAATAAAAGAAAAGGGTATTCAAAAGGACTTATATTTTAACTTATAAAAAGATTGTTGGCATGGAAATTAAAGAGAAATGACCATGTGACATTTGATAGCTTCATAAATAAGTTTAAATAGTGGCTTAACTTTAAATAAGAGGCCAACTCTCATTTTAATTCAATTTAAAGCATTTCAATTCATAAGAAAACATTTTAATTTTCTTAAAAAATAAAGGAGGGGGAAATGAAGAATTGCTATTTAATTGGTATAGAGTTTCAGTTTTGCAAAATGAAAAGCTCTGGAGATTAGTTGCACAAAAGTGTGAACTTTACTGTACTTTACAATTTAAAATGGTTAAAATGGTCA